TCTTTCAATCTATAAAAATTAGCTTGAATTTTCTCATGGCTTCACCCAACTATTATAAACTGACTTTATTCTACAGCTACAACATTTTAATTATACCTCTGCTGACTGCATCTGTTGAATTTTACAGACCTCATTGCTCCCCCAGCTGTACACTTTTAAACGTATTTATCTCCATTCCACATTCATCTTTCTCTTTCAATTTTCCTCCCGCAGGACCCAATTTTACAGTTCTTTCAAGGATGAGAGGTACAACGCAGAAGCAGCGATAAAGCAGAAAATGTTGGAGAGGGAGAAACTCAGTCTAATCACAATCACCAGCAAAGCAGTACTGAGTGAAGTGTTGGAACCACATACTGACATTTGCCTGGGTCTCGACGGACTTCATTCCAGTTATTAGCCAAGGAGTTTAGCAAGGCACTTCAGTATGTTCACAGTTATCAGACAGAGTCACAATGGTTTAATGGAAAAGGGGCATCATATTTAAAACATTCTGTTGGAGTTATTTGAAGGAGTAACATGTAGTTTAGATAAAAGAGAACCAGAGATGTACTGTATTTAGATTTCCAAAACACTTTGATATTGTACCACATCAAAGTTTATTACAGAATATAAAAAGCTCACTGAACAGGGGAATGGCACATTCACATTAATAGAAGATTGGCTGACTAACAGGAAGCAAAGACTGGAGATAAATGGGTCCTTTTTTTTGTTGGCAAGATGTAACAAGTGGTGTGCCACATGGATCAGTGCTGGGACCTCAACTATTTACAATTTACATAAACGACTTGGAGAAGGGAACAGACTATACGGTTGCCAAATCTATTGCACAAAATTAGATCAGAAAGTAAGTTGCAAAGAGGACACAAAGTGGCGACAAAAAGATGTAGATAGGTTAAGTGAGTGTGTAAAGATCTGGCAAATGGAGCTTAATGTGGAAATATAGGAAATGGCTATTTTGGTAGGAAGAGTTAAAACAAAAAAGCATATTATCTAAAATATGAGAGATCGTAGAGCTCTGAGATGCAAAGGGATCTGGGTGTCCTAATGCATGAATCAGCAAAGGTTAATATGCAGGTACAGCAAATAATTAGGAAAGTTAATGTTATCATTTAGTGCGAGGAGAATTGAGCATGAAAGTAGAAGGTTGTGTTTCAGTTACACAAAGCACTAGTAAAACCATAGTTAGCTTGCTATGCACTGTAATGCTTACGTTTTTTTTAAAGGATGTAAATTTATATGTTAACACAGAGAACCAAGAGGGTAGTCTTAAACAGAAAGGTGAGACAGGCTAGGCTTGTGTAGGCTGAAGGTTTGCGTAGGCTGAAGGTTTGCAGATTAAGAGGAGGCTTGATTTGAACAAGCATTATTCTGTGGTGTTTTGACACAGCAGACAAAGAGAACATTACCTCTTACAGTGGAATTAAGAATTAGGGGGTCACTTGAAACAAAGATGAGGCAATTTTCTTTTCTCCGAGGGCTGCAAGTCTTTAATTGTCTCCTCCCAAAAAGGTGGCGGAGGCAAAATCTTTAAAAATTTTTATGACAGAGGTGGACTGCTTCTTAATAAAGCAAGGGACGAAATGTTATCAAGAGCATTCAGGGATATATATTTGAGGTTAGTCAGATCAGCCATAACCTTATTAAAATAACAGAGCAAACTTGATTGGCCAAGAGACTTACTCCTGCTCCCTGCACATATGTTTGAACGTTTATAATTTGAGGATGAAGGAATCTCTACCTGCTCACTTTAATCCCTATCTGTCCTGAAGTGACTGGCCTCATCTTTGAACTACTGCAGTCTCTGTGGCAATGGTAATAAATTCAAAGATTCCGTTCAGTAACAACAAAAATAAAGAGCAGTACATATTCAAGTCAAGGTTCAGTGTTTCTTTCAGTTACCCAATTTATAACAGGTGCTACTTCATAATAGTAGCTCGGCTCAGACAGTCCCTTTGAATCTGTCTTTCTCACATGGCTTCCTTTTTGGTCCAATCACTCTCAACTGTTCCTTGTTGATTTTAAGCTCCCTACATATTCTTCCTTCTCTCCTCCCAATTACGATCCATTCTAGATTCCTTTAACTCAATTGCCCTTTTAAACCCTTATGTTCTTTTTTCAATTAACCTAGTATTGCTGATTTTCCATTCCTGTAGATATCTTAACTATCACCTCTCGGACTTCTCCTTTCCAAACTAAATTTTCTGTGGTCTTTGCAAAGCCTCTAGCGCCTGAACATCTCCCTTCTGTCTTAGTTACCCAAACTGAAAACAGTGCTCAAGGTGCAGAGTGACCAGCTTTGTACAGTGTAAACAAGATCCCTCTGATTTGTGTGTGGACTCTGTCGTTAAACATTTTATTTGCTTGCTGGTTGTCACTTTGCATTGGTTTGACATGCTGGACAAAGTCTTTCAAGGTTCTATAGCCTGTGAGATCTTTAACCAGAGATCCTTCAATAACATTTGTGTGGCAATTACAGCTCTAGTGTACACTCAGTATTTACATTTGTCTGCATTAAATTTCATCTACTGTTGTTCTGCCACCACATGCTGTGTCCAAACCCTTCTGTGCTCCTGCCTGAGTTTATCTTCTACTTTAATGTTCAATTCTCCTCGCTGCCTAAAATGGTTTTGTCCAGATATTGACCATCTCGATTCCCATTGAGTCCATCATCCTTTTTTTTTTGTTTTTTGCAGGGTGACTCACGTGAAGCATTTTATGAACTTCAGTGTTTTGAAATGTATTTATATGGTGATCAGAAGTCACCTTCAAAAGTAGCTTTAACCATTACCTCACTACTCAACTTTATATATCACCAACAAAAAGGTTCACAGAATAAAGTCCAATCAATACCTTTATCAATAAATTGTACTTTATGGGTGATACTGGCAATCTGTCAGAATGGATAATTTTGCCAAAGATTTACTGTTACAACTATTTCATTTGCTTTTTGAACAAGTTATAGCAGCTTGTAGTTGGTAAAGCTGTGATCAGAAAGAGACTGGATACGAGATTGAACAGTTAATGGTGACCTCTGTTGAAAGCCAAACTCTACACAATTTCTCTCACAATAAAACCTGAATTTCAGCTGAACAGGTCAAAGAATGAGGGCTTGGGAAAAGAGACCGATGAAAACTAATTTAACTTGTTTCTCAGTAATGGCACTGTTTTATGAAGAGGCAGGGAAGGCCTCGTAAATTTTGTTCAAAAAAAAAAAATTAGTATGGTTCGGCTTATGCAAATTTGGAAGCAGCTTACTCATAATGCTTGAACAGTACCCAAATTAAAAATTTAACTTTGCCAAATTTTGATTGTTTGACTAACTTGGAACATTTGTGTTTGGCAACTCGCCTGAGAAATCAGCAGATTAAAACAGTGAATCGTTGAAGCAGTGTTAATGGAGGACCCAGGTTCTGTAGTGGCTGAATTTATGAATCAATGTTATCAAGTCCTGTTACGTGTGTTTATTTCCCATAAACATTTAATCTGGTATTGACACAAGTGATAAGCTAACAACCCTTAAAGCTAAAACAGAATTCTCCACACTACCAAGAAACATATTGTGCTAAACTTTATATATCACCAAATGGCCAACAAAAAGCATTTAAAATTTGTCAAACCAAGGCAAAGTAGTATTGTGAAAGCAAAATGCAGCAGTTGCTGCGAATTTGAAATAAACCAGAATGCTGAAATTATTCAGCAGATCTGCAACATTTGGTGAGAGAAAATACGTTAATATTTTAAGTAGAACAAGTCTAAAGATGTAATTTAAAATATTAACTCTAGTTCTCTCTCCATTGATGCTGCAGACCTGCTCAGCACGCTTTCACGTGGGATTGTAACTGGTTTCAAGACATGCAGTGCTTTTGCTTAATATACTTAGCATTCATAATAAGCAATATGCACAGAAATAAAACAAAAGCAGACAATGCCTGCTGTAGACACATTGTCAATGAATGAAAATTCACAGGTTGCCCAAAAACAAAACGAGAGTGTGAAAACACTTTGCTTTTTCATTCTGTCATTGGCAATGTTGTGTGCAGACTAAGGTTATAGATACACCAGCATAACCTTGATACAATTTTTTTGCAGAGAACAATTTCCAAACGAAGTTTTTTTAATGGATCCAATTGATCGTGAAACTAAAATCAGAGCAACTTGCAGGTCATGTTTATTGGAAAATGGTAGATTTAAGTCAGCTGTCTTAGCCCTTTGTAACTAATTCACACAAGTGGAATACATGGTGGTGTGAGCAGTAGGAGTCTTATGAACAATGTTCTTGAATGAGTTTAATGTTTAATGTCTTCAGGGAGTAAAACAATCCAAAGTGGGTGCAATGCTGTTCCAGCGATTCATCCTTTAACATGCTATAAATGCTGTAAAACATCAGTTCAGTTGCTAAAAGTGACCACTTTTATGGTTTCCAAACCAAAATAGTCAACCACAGTTGTATGTTTCAGAAAGCAGGGTAAAGAGGAGAACAGTATATTGATGTTCCAGAAGGTGGCAGATTACTTACTCATAAGATGAACGCTAACTGCTTAGTACTTGCATGGAGCTCACCTTTGTTCTGTGAAAATACATAGCAAGTCCGGTGTTTTCCTACCGGTGGGTGGGGTCGGTGGGGGTCTCAAACTGATCTACTCATTCACTTACCTCCTTTCAGGCTGAGAGGCCACACGTACCTTGTCTCTCCCTCAAACGTGAAACCAAACACATCACAGAAATAGACAAAATAATTTCAGGTCATACAGATCAATAACTTTTTTTTAAAAATACATTCTCTCAGTTAGGTTGTGTTCGACACCGATGCAACATTTTACTAACTCGAAGTAGTTTCAGCACCTGTCATTAAAATTGAACTTTTATTTATTAGAACATCCACTAACTTACTTGGCTTCCATCTCCACTCTGGCATTGTACTTGTGTTTTAGTGTGCTTTAATCTACAGGATTTCAGAATCAATTACAAATCACTTTTAAAGTAATTAGTGTAGCTCTTACCGGTTTCTGATGAATCTGTTTCAATTTCCTGTTCTTCTGCTACATCTTGCATCAAATAAGTTTCATCATTATAGACCAATATTTGTGCTGCATAGCCCTGGTCAAGCCTGGCACTTGGAACTGGCTCCACGATCACTGCAGGGTAGCCTGGACCCTTTTCTGCCTCCTACAGAGCAAAGTAGCACAAAAATACGAAGAATTGTAAAAATGCATAATTGCAAATAGCTTGTTCAGTTTAATTTAAGCACAATATTCTGGGCTGATCTTGAACTGTTTGTATTCAGCACCAAGTCGTTCTCCCTACGCTCTGCCATTAATTAAGCACCTAATTCACTATCTCAGTGCACTGATCCTAATATCACGAGTGACAACCATGAATAAACTGCAGACTCGATTGTTTTCTTCCCTTTGCTCAAGATTCCTGTTTGAGCAGCATTGACTTTAAATCAGACAGCAGGTGGGGAAAAGACAAAAATAATTGGAAAGGAGATCTACTTCAGACAGATATGAAATATGATGCAACAGTGTCAAGGTGGCGTGAATGTCAAGTTGGTCAAATGTAGCCAACAGCTTGTGAAACTGTTCCAGTTATATGAAGAACAGGTTGAAATACTGATGCAAAGGTGTGACGTGGGCTCAGGAGGGGCTGAGGAGAACGCAAACGCAAACGCAAGCGCAAGACAGAGTGAGCATGCTCGTGCACTAGAACGAGCGCAAGTGAGGGAAAGCACAACCTTGAGAGATAGATAGAGAGAGCATGTGTGTGAGCATTAGAGAGATAGCCTGCAATTCTATTCCCAAAACGCTTTTTGTGCATTTACTGCATGCCTGGGCTGAAGATGGAAGGGATGCAAATGAATCCAGAGTTCCCGATCCCACTTACCATTTAGTACTGTGTACTGAAAGTCCAGGTTTGTGATGGATATCCAGTGAGGACATAATTAAACGAGGCAACTCAGTACTCTCAAGCTGAATCACTGGAAAGACCAGGGCGCTGCTGGCACTCACTGAATGGCACCTCAAAAAGCATCAGCATTTCAGAAGGGAAGAAAATGAGTTCCCAAGACAAAAATAAAGGGTCACACACCCTGACCATGAATGACTGGGGGCACGTTGCAAGAGCAAAAGCACTGGACTTCCGACAAACTTGCATGTCAATTTTTGATTGGTTTTACTAACAAAACCTCATGTTGGTTTGAATTAAGTGAAGCTGTTTCCCACAAAATTCAGATATGATTTTTGTAACCTGACAATCAAAAGGTTCCGTAACAAATATATGGTAGTATGGCAGTGTATCTCAAAGCATACTTTCAAATCAACGCACAATTAAACTAAAGGCTCTGATGTACACCTCCAATGTATCCCACCGCTGTAGTATGGAACAGACCTCGATCTCCCTGCTGGACTAATCCCCAATTACCAAAATGTGAACATGTCACAGCGTGCTATAAAGAGCAACCATATACTTCCCAGCTTGACGCACTCCTCGAAAGATTTGCAGAAGCCTGCCACAGTCACCTGCCTGAACTCTTGACTACTGCTGATCACTGGCCCAGGGAGTAAATAAAAGCATTCAAATGCTCAAGACATTTCTACAAATAACCAGTTCGCTTGCAGAACTGTGCTATTGAATGTAAAGAAAAAAAAAAAAAAAAAAAAAAGTGAAACCATGCCTGGATTCTTGTCCTTCATGCAAGAATAGCTCTGAAAAGCAGCTTAGCAATCGATGCACACAACTGGTGCCCTGCTTCAGACCTGATCATCCAAATGGCTCAGTACAGCACCAAGCAGTGGGAGCCCCAACTGAGCCAACAAGGGAACTATTTATACTTTATTTATTTATAGGACATGAACACTGACACAGTCACAAATTAGTAGAAATAATTTGCAGTCCAGGACAATGGAAGGCTCTCAGCACTTATAATAAATATTCATTGTGTGAAAAAACCGTACACAAAGCCTGCTTGCCCACTAGTGTGATGGCGATCACAACAGACCCGAATATATAGTGTTGAAAATTAAATTTAGATTTCAGCAAGCAAGACCATGTATTCTATTTGAAGGCAACCAGCAGCTCACAGAAAAACTAATGCATCTGTGCAATGTATGACATTTCAAAAGTTCATTCTTCATGGCTGTACTACATACTTAGTGATGTGGGATATGAAAAAGCCACAAAACTAAGTGCACAGGTACTAAACATTCATAGCCCTGGTTTAATCAGCAGTGACGGAGGGTATCCACCTGTTTTTGCATGTACAGTGTGTTCTGACACAGCAAAATATACTGCCAGTAAAAACAAGTATCATATTTCACATAAATATCAATTCATTAGAAAGCAAAACAAAGTAAAATTCCATTTGTTCGGAAATAAAACAGAAAGCTAAGACTGCGCCAAAAGGATAAGAAACATTGTAACTTTTTTTGCAGATGAAATTCTAAAAAAAATCACCTGGTATTTATTTTATTTTGGGTTCTGCCAACATGCTTGGGACTCTCAGTTTGCATTCACAGCACCACAGGAAGGGCTTAACATCCTTTCAATATATCGTGGTAAGTTTAATTAGTTATACACATATACACGCGCACACGCACACACACAAACTTGATTCATCTGAACCAACTGTGGCTATTTCCTGCAAAACTCGGAAATAATTTTGTAACCTGACAATCAAAAGGTTCTGTAACAAGTATATGGTACGGCATATCATTCACGTTCTCATCTAAGTTCATTTCTGCTTCAACTTTGGTATCTGAAGAGAGTGCCAATCTCTTTTACACTATAATGAGACTTTGCTTAAATGGGACATTAGAACAGGAAAAGCCACAGTTGTGTTTGAAAATTACGTGCGTTCAACAACTGTGGCTCCAAGTCCGTGTACAACAGAGTGCCAGGTGAACAGTCTGACAGGAGTCTTTTCGAAGTGAATGGGGACTCCGAGGACATAGGAAGACATTTGTCAAAATCGGTCAGAAATCTGCAGAGCCCCCTTCCTGAAACCACGCAAAACAGGATGCAGTTGGTTTTCTATTCTGAGTTTTTGCCATGTGCTGAATGGCTGGAAAAGAGAAGTGATTTAACAGATCTAAGGAAAATTTATGATGTTTAGGCTAAGAAATTATTGGTCCAAGGTCATAGTCTGTACTGACACTGTATCCAGCAATGTCATGTCAAAAGGGGACTGAGACATTGAAAGGAAGCTCTCAACCAACTCCCTCATCACACCCATGTAGAAAATAAAAACAAGAGCAGGTTAAACAAAAAAAGATAGCTACCTGGATATATATAAAAAAAGTCCTAATTATTCTGTCCACTAAGTCTGCAATTGCCATCCGACCCTTTTCATTGACAAAGTTTCAAGGTACCAAGTCTAATATTGAAACTGCTGTTTTTGAAAAAGTTTGGCCACTTTAACGTAGAACCAATTCTAGAACGTCAAACCCTTCACATGCTCTTCATTTTGGTAGGAAAGGAGTGGCATGGTTCCACAGCATTACATAAACTGAAGGAGGAAATCTCTCAAAGGTGTGTTAGTCTGTCTACCATGATGATACCAGTCTACAGATGATATGTATATTTGTTTTTCACCAATGCACAATGATAAAGAAAATCACTTCCAGTGACCAATAATGAGTAACATGAGCTCAGAGCACTAATATAGATTTGAATGACACACCACAGATTAAAATGTAGGAGGATAAATTACAAGCACTTTACAGTACATGATACTTGAACCTGATTAGGCTGGAATTTGAGAATGCATGTTTAAAGGAGCAATTCTTCCTCACTAATAATGTACTGTCACATTATTAACACTAAAATATTCTCCAGACCACATCCATGTGAAAAATTCTAAATGACAATTTGCATATGTTATAAAGCGCACCCAAAGAAATTCGAATGAATTTGGTATTTTGCCATTTACTATTGGATCACCTCTTCAGGCACCACAGGCAATTAAAACAATTAATAAACAAATAAATTAACAACTATCTTTGAAGTATTACTCGTGCAGAGAGAGAATCACACTAAATGGGGAGGAGTTGAAACAGACTCAGCTACTTATTGTTGATTTTAGATATAGTCCATAAATCAGTTTGCCATCTCCTTCAGACCAGCACTAAACAGAATGGAAATGGAATTACTGTCCATTGTATTGCATTGCACACAGTGGCCTGCATGTTAAAATCCACCCATGAATCCCTTCATTTCTACCATTAATTGGATTTAATTATGAGACTTCAGCTGATAGCTCGGTGGGAAGACAGGGTGAGGATGTTAGAATGTGTCCAGGGAATTGGGAAAAGTTGCTTTTGCTCTCAATTATTTTCCAGCAACCACTGCAGAAATGCACATTTATGTGGGTTTCAACTGGATACCCCACCAGGTAGACGACAGGGAAACTTAAAGCCAGAGAATGACCTGTCAGTAGGCAAACAGGGCAGCTAGTCAGCACACAAAGTTCCAAAGACAGCACAGGAATCAATGACTAGTCAAATCATTTTGCTACTGATGTTGGTCAGATGAATAGCACCAGGAGACCTTTTATTTTCCACTGATGCAAAAAAGAGATTTAATGTGCATGTCATTATGGGTAACGTATTAGCATGCATTATCTATGTATTAAAGGATTGGTTAATTAACTGGAAGCAAAAAGAGTGGGGATAAATGAGTACTTTTCTGGTTGGTGACCGCAATTGTTTACGATTTACATAGATGATTTGGAGTTGGGGACCACATTTAGTGTTAAAGTTTGTGGATGACACCAAGATGAATGGTAGGGCAAAGTGTGCAGAGGATTCAAAGTTTGCAGAAGGATATAGATAACTCAAGTCAGTGAGCAAAAGTCTGGCAGATGGAGTACAATGTTGATAAATGTGATGTCATCCATTTTGGTAGGAATAACAGTAAAAAGGACTATTACTTGAACAGTAACAAATTGCAGCATGCTGCTGAACAGAGGAACCTGGGTGTCCTTGTGCATGAATTGCAGAAAGTTGGTTTGCAGGTGCAACAGGTAATTAAGAAGGCAAATGGAATTCTGCCCTTCATTGCTAGAGGGATTGAGTTTAAAAGCAGGGAGGTTATGTTGCAGCTGTATAGGATGCTGGTGAGGCCACACCTGGAGTACTACATGCAGTTTTGGTCTCCTCACTTGAGAAAAGATGCACTGGCACTCAAGGGGGTGCAGAGGAGATTCACTAGGTTGATTCCAGGGTTGGCTTATGAGGAGAGACTGAGTAGACTGGGATTATATTCATTGGAATTTAGGAGAATGGTGGGGATGGGGGTGGGGGGAGGTGGGATCTTCTAGAAATATATAAAAATTATGAAGGGAATAGATAAGATAGAAGCAGGGAGGTTGTTTCCACTGGCGGGTGAAACTAGAACAAGAGGGCATAGCCTCAAAATCAGGGGGAAGCAGATTTAGGACTGAATTGTGAAATTCCCTGCCAAGTCGTTGAAACTTCCTCACTTAATGTTTTTAAAGCAAAGATAGATAATTTTTTGAACTGTAAAGGAATTAAGGGTTATGGTGAGAGCATGGATAAGTGGAGCTGAGGCCATAAAAAGATCAGCCATGATCTGATTGAATTGCGCAGCAGGCTCGAAGGGCCAGATGGCCTACTCCTGCTCCTGGTTCTTACGTTCCAATGTCTCATCTGAAAGATCAATCTTCCCCCGTATTTCATTGCGATTCTAGTCTTGATTATGAACTGAAATTGGTAAGTCCAAATTGTTTGAAGCAAGCGAGCTGCTTTTGGTTATTCTATATTTAGTCGAGACTCCGATTGTCAGGTTTGATGCAGTTTGTTACAGCCCATTCTACATTCTTATTCATCCTTGGGATATGGGCTTGGTTTTCAATCTTTGGACTTTTACTGCCTATCCCTGGTTTTGCTGCAGAAGGTGGCATTAAGCCTTCTTTGTAAACTGCTGCACTCCATGTGGTGAAGGTGCTCCTGTAGTGTTGCTAGGCAAGGAATTCCAAGAATTTTATCCAGCATTTACAAAGGAACAGCAATATGCATTCAGTCAGGATTTGTGCAACTTGGATGATGTTCCCATGCATCTGCTGCCATGGTCTTACATAGTGGTGGATACTGCTGGTTAGAGAGGTATTACTGAAGATGACTTGGCAACTTAGATTACCTAATCAAGCTCCCTTTTAGTTCAAATGAGACCCGTTGCGGGTCTAAGTTTGGAAGTGAAGTATTCTTAAAATTGTCAGCACCCAGACTTCGACTGGTCACAGTAGCCCGAGTCCCTGCTGTAATTCAAACTGATGTTTAAATATCGGAGTTCCAACAACTAGAAAATTCCGCCACTTGCTGCAAAACCAGACACATAGTTTGTCTATTAGGCCAAGAAAAAGAAAATTCAACGCAAAAACCCACCACATTTTTTTTTTTTAAAAACTAGTTTGTGACAAATTAAGCCTCAAAACCCACAAAATTACTGGTGGATAATAGTAGTGTGAATAAGGCCAGTCTGCTCAACATACGGTTATATGTTAAAAAGTTAATAGCTGCGGAGTGAAGCACACAACATTAGAAAAGCGCACAAATTGTGCTAAGAAGGAAAACAGCCTTGGTTCAATGAGCTCAACATTTTCCAGAAGCTGACAGCGTGTAATATTCCAGAAATGCAATCATTAGTTCTCGATCAATGTCAAGAAAAAGCATTTACCTAACAGTGAAACAGAGCAGAAGCATGGTGTTTGTCACAAAGATAAAGGGGGAAATGCCCCTGTGCTAACCTGTTGCTGATGGGTCTCCATTCCATTACTGGCAAAGTCAAACACCAGGCCTCCAGTCTCCACCACCGCTGATGTCATAGCACATTCCCTGGGGCCTCAAGGTTGCTGCAGACAAACCTCCTTCACACAGCAATGTGCTGCACTCAGTGTCTGCCAAAAACTGAAAAAGGCCTTTGCGTTTTCGGCACATATAGAATCATGCAGCACTCAACAGAAGTATTCTTCAAAACCTAAGACACACACACAAAAAAAAAAAATGTGCAGCATAGAAATAAGTCCCCCCGGAGCACGTTTCCTTTCTAGATCCCACTTTCTCAGTTTATGACTCGAGGAGGAATGTCATTTCAGCAAAGCAGAACCTCTGCAAAAAGGCTCCTGGACCTACAAGAGAACAAAATAAAAAGCAGGTTAATTTATTGACAATTGAAGGCTCCACACACAAAGAAAAACCTTAAACTTTTAATTTCAGAATTCTAAACTTAGATATTCTTACTGCAATAAGACAAGGAACTCTCTCAACTAGACACTTTCATATCTAACCCTTTATTTTTTTCATTACATGAATCGGTATTGTTTAATGTTTTGAATTTTGTAGCCAAGCTGAGAGAAACAGTATTAATAGTGGCATCTGAACTTTTTAAAAAAATTTTTAAGAACAACAGAGGGCACTAGTGAGTCGAGTGGCCACATGTCACTACAACACTAAACAAGCTCTACAATGATGTAGCAAGGGCTTTATTCAGATCAGAAACCCAACAGTTGTTACATTTCATCAATGCTGTTGAACATAATGTTAACCTTCATTAGTGCTGAATCAATACAACACTTCATGCTTGTAAAGAAAGAATACAGCCCCAGAAATAAATTTAGGAAATAACTATAAATTAGTAACACAAACAAATTGCTGGAGAAACTCAGCAGGTCTGGCAGCATCTGTGAAGGGAGGTACAATGTTAATGTTTCAAGTCCAATTTGACTCTTCTTCAGAGCGGAATATAATTTTGGGCTTGAAACTTGAACTCTCATATCTTTCGGCACACTTGCTGAGTTTCTGCAGCACTAATTTTTATTACAAGTTTTCAGCAACCACAGTATTTTGATCTTGTTTTAATAGCCATTAGTTCTGTACTCCTGGGTATTGCTACTTGTAATCTCAGGGATGACTCAACAGGATTTCTGGATCAAGACCAGGAGGCTAGGGATTTGAGTTGGCGATGGCATAACGATATTATCACAAGACTATTAATCCAGAAACTCAGCTAATGTTCCAGACATACGGGTTCAAATCCCACCACAGCAGATGGCGAAATCTGAATTTAAAAAATCTGGAATTAACAATGGCCATGAAATCACTGCTGATTGTTGGAAAATTCATCTGGTTTACTAAAGTCCTTCAGGGAAGGAAATCTGCCATCCTCACCTGGTCTGGCCTCCAGACTCACAGCGATGTGGTCGACTCTTAGCTGCTCTCTGCAATGGCCTAGCAAACCATACAACGGTGTTAATCACTATGAAGTCTAAATAATGATATGGAAGCAGACAGACCAGCACAGGACAAGGATTGCAGTTGTTCAAGGTGACAGCTCACCATCACCTGAAGGCTAATTAAGGGCCAGCCAGCAACACCCACACCCCCACAAGTGAATTGTAAAAAAGTTCCCTTGGCTTCATTAAATTCCATGGTGTACTACAAATACTGTATAAGCAACAGGGGGAAAGCAAAGATCTGATTGATAAAAACGCATTGTCATAGTTCAGTAACACAACATGCCCTGTAAACTGTAATACCAGCCTGGTTTGTTTGCACCATTCCTACTTGGGCATCACCTCCAAGTTTATACCCTTGATCTGTCAGGTGGTAAAAGCTAAAAGCTTTCTGGGGACGGGTCAGAAAAACCCAAGGCAATTCAGCCAATTGTGTAGCGAAAGGCAAAAGACCCAAAATAAAAACTTGTTCAAATTTTAAAATAGCATATCCTTACTGTAATAGCACTGGATCACTGCACTTGCAGTCTGTCTCAATTTCAGATTTTTAAATATTGTACAATATGTACAGTTGACCTGCAAGCAATATCCTTTCAAACAATCCAAAAAAGTAAAAATGTAGGAGTGGCTAGGTCTTTGATACTCCAAGCTGACTCTACTGCTCGTACAAGTCATTCTTATCTCACAACATCACCTCAGACTTTAAAAGTTCCACTCTTTGATATGGTCTGTTCCCTACTGGAGTACAATCAGGACAGGAGTGTCTTAAATCTTGCTGCGCCTATGTGGTTTGAATTCCCTCATTCTCTCCCACTCATTTCTTCCCTTGTCATAGCCCCATGTCCAGTCCTTCAAATTCAAGACTGCAGTCAGGAGGGTGTCTGATTTGCTAGCTCAATGATTGATACATCTGACTGGATCACTTCAGACACTACGAAATCTTGAGCTCTGTTGGCTTGCATCTCCAGGATTATCCTGGAATGCACAGAGAACCCATTGCATTTCTCCAATACTAACCATCTCCTTCTACTTTCCCCCACCACCCCTGCCCCCATGCTAAATCCAATGTCCAATAGCAAGATACAAATAGACTTCACCCCAAAAACAGAGCGTTCAGTTGCACCAACACTTTCTCACCTGGAAACAGCGCCTACCCCTGGTGTCTTTCTCTCATTTCTCTTTCAGCAATCCAGCAATCACTCATCTTTCCACCTTGCACCATCCTTTGTCATCCCTAACAGATCAGTCATTGCTCCCCACCCTACCTCCTTAACCATATAGTGTCTCTTGGCAAACAACATCTGAAGAAATAGGGTTAGCTACTAACTATCCACTGGCATCACACAACACAACCTCCCCACCACATCTCTCAACCCGGTCCAATTGCTCACCTGAGAGCCAATTATGGGCAGGCTCCTCCAGCATTCTCCGAGGTGGTGATGCAGAAACCCTTGCCTATCCTGCCATAAGCTCAGAATCTCAACACTAATTCCAAATTTCCTGCCCGCTGTCTCAGTGGGAACCTGGCAGGTCACAATCACAGCATCCTATCCAAACCTTCGCTGAGTTTCTGAACCCACATCCTCTCCATCAGAAAACATTCACCCCTACAAAATTACCTGGCTCCACCCTAGATCATCTCTCAAATATTTATCCATGCTTTGGGAAACTCCAGACTTGGCTGTTCAAATGCTGATTCATCCAGTCTCCCATTCTTCGCCTTTGATGATAAACTTCAATTCATCGAAAACTCTACTGCTCAGATCCTATCTTACAGTACCCTACACTAAATATGCATTCACCCATCAGCTATGTCCTTGCTGACCCAAACAGTCTCCCATCATGTCCAACTTAAAATTATTTTTAAATCCCTTCCTGGCCTCACCCCTGTCTATCTATGTAATCTACACCAGATCCACACCATTCAAAGTCCCCCCATGGAATCTACCTTGAGCATCACATACGTTCTTTGTCCCACTGTCACTAATGTTCTTAATGCCAAGTAGCAATCGCTCACTGAGGGATGAACACCAACTCTAGTCATCGAAGGCTTTCAATTTGATATAATAATTTGTTGTGCTCACTCCTGCTCCTGGTTTCCAGTCAGAGCAAGCTGTCTGAAGGATGTTCTGCCTCTGACTTTAGGAGGGGGTCAGAGCCAACCTCTTTTCTCGAACACAATATCAGCAGTACTCAAGCTAGCCAGTAGCCATTATTCAGCAAAATGGCATCCTAATCCACACTCATCTTCCTTAAAAGACTTCTGGCCACAAGATTATACGATTCAGTCATGTGAAGGAGAACACTCACGACCCAGTCACAGCAAACTGTATAACGCAGCAAAGACTTTAGAAGACACAGCAACTACAACTCGCAGGTCAAACGCAGTCACTTGCTACATTTTAAAAAAGGTGAATGGGAAAAGAAGCAATCAAAGAATCTCCGGAATGTAGAAACAGGCCATTCGGTGCAACCAACCACACTGACTCTCCAAACAGCATCCCACCCAGACTCACCCACCTCCCCTGTCCCTGTAACCCCACATTTCCTGTGGCTAATCCACCTAACTTACACATTCCTGAACACTACGGGCAATTTAGCATGGCCAATCCGCATAACCTGCACATTTTTGGACTGTGGGAGGAAACGCACGCAGACATGGGGAGAACGTGCAAACTCCACACTGACAGTTGCCCGAGGTTGGAATCGAACCAGGTCCCTGGTGTTGTGAGGGAGCAGGGCTAACCACCGAGTCACAGTGCTGCCCCAATCATGACAAGAGGATAAATGTTTTTATTTACTAGGATCTGGAATGATCTGGATGGGTGTCAATTAGCTGGATGGATGCTCTGCAATGCACACTAATGCCAACAGCATGGGTTTGATTCCTGTACTAGGTTATCATGAAGTTCCCCAGTTCTCAACCTCTCCCCTTGCTTGGGACATGGTGACCCTGAATTTAAACCACCACCAGCCCCCTCCCCCTCTCCCTCTCCCTCTCCAATGACAGTGCAACCCTCTGGGACCTTGGTGACTTCACTTTTACAGCCACTCTATGATTGAGGTGACTGTACAGATCAATTCAGACTGAGAACAGGCCCAAGAAAGTGCAACTCACTTTGAAAAAGAAAACGATCAACATGTTTAGTATAAACCAGAGAGGCAGAAATACAGGTTAACAAGAACCCCACACTCAACTCACCCTATCTGCAAATCACGCAATCCCACCAAACTAAACAAGGGAGTTACATTGCTGGGCAGATGTTATCTTTCAAACGGTATTATTCAAACACAGCCAAGGGGAAAGAAAAGGTTTCTTGTTTAAAAACCATCTGGTCAAACGCCCAAGTTTTAATTGCAGCAACTCTCTACCACATGGAGCAGCTGAAGTAAATGCAAGAGATGCATATAGGGGAGAGCTAGACCAACACAAGAGGGAATCTAGAAGGATTTGTTGATAGGATTAGATGGAAAACCAGCACAGTGCTGTAAATATGAAACAACTGGAACAGAAAAAAGAACTATGCTGTTGATTTTCTGCCCCATGTGCTCCGGTTGGAAGTACGTACATTATTTGAGTGATATCTACTACTGACAAAAACCTATCGCAAAGCTTAACTTCCATTTATACAGCGCCTTGTCTCAGCCGTAAGAAATTTCCAAGCTCTTATATAACGACAAAACATATCAGTTAGTCTGTGCCACGAATGACTGAAACAGCAAAGTAAATGATCAAGTGGCTCATTATTGGAGTGTATTTCGCACGGCAGACATTACCTAGCGAGTCAGAGAACTTCAGTCAATAGGTTCCAGCAACAGTTTAACAGAGGGCCTTCGTTTATCTCATCCAAAAGGACAAATGACTGGACAAGATTCATAGATTCATCTGAGTATTT